CCCGTTTCAAGTGCTTGAGGACGAGGCGAGGAGTTGGTGTATTTTCAACATTAATGCCACATTTGATCACAGCACACTCATCCTACTCCCCAGAAACCATCACCTCCGGTTTACCGATTTTGATAATTTATGCATGTATTAATCCTAAAGTACAGAAGACAGCGCAGGCCTGTGATTGGTTGGTGATATGGAAGGTAGCAGCAGTGGAAGATCCTATTGGTCAGCGAAAGCTGGAATGTGGGCAGCAGTGGGCGTTCAGTAAGCGTGATTGGCCACGTACAGAGACTGGGAGGCGGCCCCACTGCCATCGCTGCTGGGCTCATACTTGCCCTGTGCTGCCAAGCCATTCACCTGAGAGAGACAGAGAGAACAGACATTCAACATCAGGCATGACTGAAGAACACAAAGTTATAGCTGCAGTTTGTTTTTGTTTTTTTAAATAATCATGCACTCTCTCCTTTGCATGCAATCTCCAAAGAGCGTGTGTTTGTATTGGAGCATACCTGCAGATAAGAATTTCATTGCAGCTGTGCATACGACAAACTGAACTTGTCCAGTAATAAAGCTGAGCATAATGCACAGAACACAATCTGATCAATTATCTCCTCATTAACCTCCAAAACTGCATTTCTTATCATTTTTAATTCTGATGGACAGGAGCAGCAGTGCGCTTCAGGTCTTATTGCTGATCGAGCTGACCTCGGCGCGCTTGACGAACTCCTCGGTGGCGGCGGACTCGTTCTCCTTCTGGCCGCGCCAGGCCCCCAGCGCGGAGGCCTGCAGGGCGCGGCCGTAGGAGAAGGTGAGCGCCCAGGGGCGGCCGAGCGGGCAGGTGTTGATGGCGTTCAGGTTGATGGAGGCCTCCTCCTCACTCTGGCCTCCGGACAGGAAGGTCACGCCTGCGGGACACACACACACACCAGAGGATCAGAATAAATCGCTCGGGGTCCCACTGATCCAACCCATGAAGGGCCACTGTGCTTGATCTTTTAGTGATCAAATCAGTTCTTTACCCGATCGAGCTGAACAAAGACTTGGATTACACCAACCCCAGGTCTGTGCCATCACCCAGGGCCCGGGCTTGGCCATCCTCGCTCAGACAACGCTAGGGGAGGCTGGGATACGAGCAGTACCTGGGACAGCAGGAGGCACGGTGCGTCGCAGGGCGGTGACGGTTGCCATGGCAATCTCCTCGGAGCTGTATTTGGTGGGGCAGGCGTGGCCGGGGGTCACCATGTTGGGCTTGAGCAGCGTTCCCTCCAGGTAGACGTGGTGGTCCGACAGGGACTTGTACACTGCAGCCAGGACCTGACACCCAGACACACATACACACATGCAGTCAGCATTCCGCACAGCGCCCAGCTGCATAGGCCCAGTGAGGATGGCAGCTTTCGGGAAGCATCTCAGTGGGCTACTGCCAAGGTGGGCAATAAAGCATCTTCTCATCTGCAGCTCTGAAGCTCTGGCAGGTGGCAGAGTGCAGCCCTTTACTGCCTTGTCCTTAATCAAAAACTCCCTCCCAGATAGGCTATTGTAAAACATCTAGTTGGGGACAAACGCATCATTTCCTCCCCATTGATCTTCCTCCAGCTACACAGAAACAAAGGTTAATCACTACGCTGAGGTCTCGTGTGCTCCCTCACCTTCTCCGTGACGTACTGACAGCGCTTCAGGTCGTGTTCTCCATCGGGAAGAATCTCCGGCTCCACAATGGGCACGATTCCGTTCTGGAATTAGAGCAGATCTTCATGATCTTCCAGACAGCATACTGAATTACAGACCTGTGCTACGGTAAGGTCCTTAGTTTAATCCATCACGATCAATACAGCAATTAAGGAGCTGGTCATAGGACAATACTACAGCAGAGTACAGGAGTGTCACTGGCTCCACCTGCTGGCAGATGCTAGCGTAGCGTGCCAAGACGTTGGCGTTCTCCAGGATGGCCAGCTGGGAGGGCGTGGTCTCGGTGATCTTCAGGACGCAGCGCCACTTGGCGAAGTCGGCGCCGTCTTTCTTGTACTGGGCACAGCGCTCGGAAAGGCCATCCAGACCTGCGGAAGAACACACACGCAACACATCCTAAGACCAACGCCTCGGAAAACCACAACTCCCCGCGTTCCCCTGCTCCCTAAGGCTTCCTCCAGACCCTGGCCACTGCGGTGTTGCTAATTCCGACAACAATGGGATGGGATGTGAACCGCTGACTCTAGGAGTGGACAGGATCCACCAGTTCAATGACCAATGTTCAAGACTTTGTTAGGATTTTAGCATTTACAGTCTTAAGTAATTTCTCACAAGATAGGATACACAGACTAGTAGGCCTAAAAAGGCTGTATAGACTCAGTAACATTCAGTTTAGTCTGTGGTTGCACAACATTGTGAGCACAATGTTTCTCTTCAAGTTTAACAAAGCATTCTTCAGTGCCTGGAAGACAGGGAGGTTGTTCTGGACTCTGTGCTCTGCAGACTTACTGTATGCAACCAACGCACGACCAGCCTCAAGTAATCAGGTGCATAAGGCGCAGAGTCCTGCACACAGCCCCTGGTTTAACTGATCTTGGCGATACTACTCTGGGGGGGTGGGGTGGGAGAGGACTGTCTGCAATCCTATCGCTTCTGCGCCCCTGTCACCCGTCAGCCAATCACTTCTCTCAGGGCACCTGCCAAGGGCAGTGCCACTGGGCCCGTACGGATGCAGCCAAGGTGTCAGGCTGAAGAGAAGGCAGAGCCCTGGCAAACTGGACAACCGAGGTTTCAAGGACGGAAAAGTCTAATGCTGTCTCATGTCTTAAGGGCAGAGTAGTAGGTGTCGCATGTTTAACTCTTTGTGGAGTCCAGTTGGGGAACCTCTGAGGTTTTTGTTAACCTGCCATCCATCTGGTTTAAATGCCAGTGATTTCACGGAGTCTGCTGGCCAGACAGCCCCGCTGGAGGAGGGTGGCGGAAGTGGGCAGTCTTACCCTGGGTGGTAGTCTCGCCGTTGGTTCCTGCCAGGGGCACGACCCCTTTGTCCACCTGGAGACGAGAGGGGAAGGAAGCCGGTCAGTGAAACGACCCCCGCACGTCCCTTCGCACGCCTGCCGTCGCCGTATCGGCAGCACAGCGATGCCAAGCACAACGCTCTTACAGGCTCGACAGGAAGTCCCTATCAGGCTTGCGCCGGCAGATGCAACACTGGCGCTATTTTTAAGGTGAGCACAGACAGGGAGCAAAAACAGACTGAAAGGGGGCTTTATCTCACAAGGCAGAAATAGAATGGAAGAGGAGTCTGGCATTGCCTGACGCACGATGATAACGAGAGCCCCAGGCTGCACACAGCTCCTCCTTCGCCTCTTAATCCCGAGTGGCTTTAGGCTGGGTAATCTGTCCGCTCTATTTATAAACTCCAAGTCACCCTGGCTGGGACCGATCTTCCCTGCAGGCCCTGACCCTAATCCGGCTGCTGCAAAGCACCCCAATCAGCAGAGGGGCCTCAGTTGACCTCATCCCCCAGCGCAGTTTCAGGAGAGCTGGGGGCTGGGGGAACGTGCTCTACTGAGGGACCTGAGGTTCTAGGCCCCAGTCAGGCCCGTCCATCTCTGCCTCCAGCGGCTCACTCATCGATCTTGCCCAACATAAGAAAGACACTTAAAAACATTTACAGATGCCTGCCCCCGAGCCGCGGGATTGAGGAAGACGCACCACAGCTAGAAGCCGGCTGCCTACTGCCAACTCCCGGGGGTCCTCACCGAGTGTGGGGGGCGTCAAACAGAAATACAGGGGCACCATCCATCCCGGGTCTTGTGTAAGGGAATAGATACCCTAAAACCCCCACATCCCGAGAGTTCTGTAGGCCAGGGGTTCCCGAACTTTTTTGTCAGCTAAACCCCTACAACCTCAATTTGCCTCAAGTCCCCCCCTTGAGATTTTAACTAAATCAAACCTTTCAATCACTGTAGATACATGCTACAGCAACCCTCTCAACAAGCTTCTTTTCACTTTGTAAAATATTGATATTACTACCGTTGTTTTTCTTATTCTCAGTATTACATTGTTATTTATTAACAGGACTATTTAATTTGACATTGACGTTTCTGTCACAATCTCACGAACCCCCTGCAGTACCGTCACGGACCCCTAGGGGGCGGCAGGCGACCGGCGCACTGGGGACTTGACAGGGGCGCAGCCTCACCTTGATGCCCACGACGATGCCCTTGTCCTTGATCATCTTGACGAAGGAGGTGCCGTCGTCGGCGCTCTGGTACAGCGTCTCGTGGAAGAAGATGACACCGCCGATGCAGCTGTTGATGCGCTCGTCGGCGCTGAAGAGCAGCTGCCGGTACAGGCGGCGGTTCTCCTCCGTGTTCTCCACGCCAATCTGGCTCAGGCGCTTGGCCATGCTCCCTGCCGGAGACACAGCACAGCCGTGAGCCCGTCACCATATTCCGAGTTACTGCCTTCACAAGGAGCCGACGGACACAGAAGAACCCAAGAGAGACTGAAACAGAGCGTTACACGCCGTGCCAATGGCGACGCACACCAAAAGCCACTTTAAACAAAAAGGGATTTAGGATTTGAATACAGATCTAATCCCGATAATTCAGAATTTTCAAAAGTGTTTCAATAACAAGACATGCATATTGTACACACTGGTTCGGCTACACTTTCTCATCAGCTTATAGCTGCTTCACTAAGCTCAGTGCAGGGAGATGCAAGGCTACTGTTTTGATGTAAAGACTCCACAGGTAAGTGCATGACTGAACGCCCACTCCCTCCCCATGCACCCTGTGCTGGGAACAGCGCCTCCTACTGACCGACGGACTCATCTGCAGCCAGGATCCCTTTCCCAGGGGCCACGATGCGCTGGGCGATGTCCGCCAGCTCCTTCTTCTTCTGCTCAGTGGTCAGGGCGGGGTACTGGTGCGTCATCGCTGCTGAACGTCAATAGTGCCTAAACATGGAAATTTTCATGGTCAGTTTCCAAAGGCATAAACAAATGGTTCATCCAAGTCACACCGAATGGCTGCCCCATCTATTCTCCCCTCCACACTGTCAGTTCACATCCAAACCCAACACAATTATTCAAGGATTATAGTGCACCAAGCCTGGAAGTCTTTTAAAAGTCACGATCAGAAAAGCTCAACAAATAAAAAAGGAAGATCCGTGATTTTAATCCAATCATGTCTTTGGGTTCCTCTAACATCTCAGTTGAAATGCTTTTTTTTTTTTTAAATGAGGCATTTTTAAAAGGTGACGCATGTGTTGTTAATGTCTGTTGAAAACATCTGAGCCCCGGGCTGACGTGGGAGCCCCGAGTTAAAAATATACACTTCCCACCGAGAGACAGATGGGAATATCGGTCCTGCTGTTACATAACGTACAGACGACGACAACAAACAAACACATTTATTGCCCCAGTTGCCAGCAGGATTACGGGAGAGATTATGCAACTGTCCTGGCCTGCTCTCTGCAGACAGACCACTGCCACCCCAGGGGCTGGGTGGCCTGCAGCCCTGCAGCAAGGGGACCAGGCGGCCATTTCCAGCCGTGAGAGTTGGCATCAGTCTCTCTCACACTCGACAGAAGAGCAGACAGGCAGCCAAGCCCCACCCCCTCCATCCCTCAGGACAGACACACCAGTCAGCACTGTCAGCCTGATGCACTTGTCTGTTAGAGATAAAGCAGACGTTGTGACAGCCAGGCTATAATACATGATTACAGCCACCACACTATTAAGAGAACAGGAATAGAAACAAGGACAAACGTTTCAGTTACAAAAATGAGGAGAGGAAATGCATAATTGAGATGAGGCAAGAAATCACTTAATTGCAGGTCCGAGCGCTTGGATTATAT